GAGAGAAGGGACCGGAGAGAATGGGAACCTCGGAGTGAAGCGACCGTTGGCTGAGAATTTAAAAGACAAACAAAGGAGAGGTCATTACCAGGGTACTGTTTAACCGGTACCGAAGGGAGTCGACCATGGCCCTCATTGGTCGACCCGGTCCCTCATTGGTCGAACAGGTCCCTCATCGGTAGACCTGGATCCCTCATAGGTAGACCTCGGCTCCTCGTCGGTAGACCCGGTCCATCATTGGTCGAACAGGGTCCTCATCGGTAGACCTGGATCCCTCGTCGGTCGGCCTGGTCACTCATCGGTAGACCCGGTCCCTCATTGGTCGACCCGGTCCCTCATCGGTAGACCTGGGTCGACCTGGGTCCCACATCGGTCGATCCGGTAGATCTGGGTCCTTCATTGGTCGACCTGGGTCCCTCATTGGTCGACCTCGACCCCTCGGGGTTCAGCCACTCCTGACCAGTTAATACAAGGATCAGACCAGTCGACGCAAGGAATCAGAGCTTCAGGCAAGGATAGAGTGAAGGAGTCAAAAGGATAGGACTATATTAAATACTACTCAGTTTGCGATCTACTTGGCAAGTCTTCGTCGCGCTGTAAAGGAACTCGAGTCTGACCACACGCCTGTTCCGGGGAAGGGATATATTTGGCCCCCCCGTTGAAGACAGACGTGTGGTTAGACACAAGTGCGAGCTGAACCCCACGTGGCACGACTCCGTCACCCAAGAAGAACTTGCTCTACGCTACTCACTGTTCCGGGAAGGGATGAATTTTGGCCCCCCGTCGAAGACAGTTGTGTAGCGAAGTTCAAGTGCGAATAGAGCTCCAGGATATATTTGGTCTGTGAGCTCGTTCGAGTAGCAACACCTCCCAAGACCCGCTATCGGAAGCGGTCTCCCTCACCTACGGTCATCGGATAGGAGGATTACCGAGGGTGTTGTTTGCTGTAGTAGCTAGAAGAAGGTACAATAAAGAGTGAAATAATGTCAGCTAGGTACTTAATTTGCTCCGATGCACTACATCTAAGCCTATTAATATCGTTGTACGATATAAATAACTTACAATGAGTCGATGCTGATCGTTACACACAAACTCGTTGTGTCGTCTCTGTTGTATGATGGATGAGTAAAGAGCAATGTCTATAGAACTAATACTCCCCCTTTACCTGAAGTCTTCGATTTTGGCCTTGTCCAATAGCGCCTCGAACTTCTTTGTCGAAATCGGTTTGGTGAAGAAGTCCGCAAGCTGTGTCTTGGTATAAGTATACCAAAGCTTTATAATTTCTTGCTCTTCACTTGATCACGTACAAAATGGTACTTGATGTCGATGTGCTTGGCTCGACTTTGATAACCGTCGTTCTTCGCGATGGCAATCGCACTCTGGTCGTCCTCGTATATCGGTATTGCATACTTGATATGCACTTGCATCTTCTTCAGCAAACTCTCTGTCCATAACACTTCCTGTACACATATTGATAGAGCCATGTATTCTGTGTGGTGGAGTGGGTTCTCAAAATTGTATGATGAGACCCCAAACCACTCACTGTGCCGGACTGCCGACTGTCGGAGGGGGTACCCCGATGCCGCGTATGAACCTTCTCTCACCTTGTGTACCCGTCGGCTGACGGGTTGCACTCTTCGGAGGACTTGGTGACGATGTAGACGTCTGCCTTGAGGGAGGTAGACCTGGGGGGCCTCGAGTGGATATGCTTCACTCGGTGGGCCGGTAGGTGGCCACTCGATCGACCTTGTCGAGAGTGGACTTAGAGCCAAATTCTTCAGGGGCGCTTGTCGTCCCTGGCCTTTTCCTTCTTGTTTCAGGGGTATTAACCACCTGACCTTTACGTTGCTCCCGGACCTTGAGGTGAGGGAGACCGCTTCCGATAGCGGGTCTTGGGGGGTGTTGCTACTCGAACGAGCTCACAGGCCAAATATATCCTGGAGCTCTATTCGCACTTTAACTTCGCTACACAACTGTCTTCGACGGGGGGCCAAAATTCATCCCTTCCCGGAACAGTGAGTAGCGTAGAGCAAGTTCTTCTTGGGTGACGGAGTCGTGCCACGTGGGGTTCAGCTCGCACTTGTGTCGGACCACACGCCTGTCTTCAACGGGGGGGCCAAATATATCCCTTCCCCGGAACAGGCGTGTGGCCAGACTAGAGTTCCTTTACAGCGCGACGAAGACTTGCCAAGTAGATCGCAAACTGAGTAGTATTTAATATAGTCCTATCCTTTTAACTCCTTTACTCTATCCTTGCCTGAAGCTCTGATTCCTTGCGTCGACTGGTCTGATCCTTGTATTAACTGGTCAGGAGTGGCTGAACCCCGAGGGGCCTGGTCGACCAATGAGGGACCCAGGTCTACCGATGAGGGACCGGGTCGACCAATGAGAGACCGGGTCGACCAATGAGGGACCTGGTCGACCAATGAGGGACCCAGGTCTACCGATGAGGGACCTGGTCGACCAATGAGGGACCCAGGTCTATCGATGAGGAACCTGTTCGACCAATGAGTGACCCAGGTCTACCGACGAGGTACCGGGTCTACCGATGAGGGACCCAGGTCTACCAACGAGGGACCGGGTCGACCGATGAGGGACCGGGTCGAGCGACGAGGGACCCAGGTCTACCGATGAAGGACCTGTTCGACCAATGAGGGACCGGGTCGACCAATGAGGGCCATGGTCGACTCCCTTCGGTACAGGTTAAACGTTACCCTGGTAATGACCTCTCCTTTGTTTGTCTTTTAAATTCTCAGCCAACGGTCGCTTCACTCCGAGGTTCCCATTATCTCCGGTCCCTTCTCTCGAGTGCGTGGTCCCTTCTCCCTAGTCCACGGCCCCTTGTCCCTTCAATCCAACTGGACCCTGAGTTCTTCACAATTTAGGAAACCACTTCACCACATCTGCTTCTGCTATACTCAGCGCTATACGCTTGCTGCCTCTTCGACTTTAAAGTCTTTGTGCACCTTTAATCATGACCAACACACCTGATGTTGATCTGCAGTTGTCCTTGTAGCTCGCCTAGTTCGCGTCCGTGTACGCGCTCAACTGTAGTTTGTCTGAATTACCGTTATAGCAAATTCCTTTGTCTTGCGTCATCTTTAATAGCGCGATACTCGTATCGCTGCATTCCAGTGCTCTTCGTGTGAAAAAATTCAGGTATCGGTACAGCTGGCAAAGTGCAAACGCAATATCCGGTCTCGTACCTGATACCAAGAATAATGGTGAGACCACCAATAACCCGTATGGTCGAATTTTCATCCTTGGGTCAGTTTTGTCCATCTTCTTCATAGCCTCCCTTTCAGCACGAGGATTTAGTTCTGATCTCGAGTCAACTTAGTAAAATTTCCTATCATCCTTGATATACATAATCGTTGGCTGATATGTAGTCGTCGGTCGTCTCGCAGATACTTGACTTAAATTCCGAGAATGAAACGAACACCTCCCATTATCTTCATCTTGAAACGACTTGAAAGTATAGCTGCGACAACATTTATCTTGAAAATTGATCCAGCTTCGGTCAGAAGGTCATTCACATAAAACGCAACGTAAGCGCATGACTCTCCATTCTGTCTTACAAATACACACGAGTCTGACACACACGAATGAAATCGCATATCCACGAAAACACTTGCTATTTTCTTAAACCATGTCACTGCCGCTATTTTATTCCACATTGATGCGGTTCAGCTTAAGTACTTGGTCACGCCCTGATTTTACTCCTAACGGAGATTATATATATACCTCTTCCTCTAAAGTTTCATTCAAAAAAATGTGTCGACGTGATACTGATGGATTAACGTCCCTCTTTGACAACAAACCGCCAATGGTTCATTTTTATGTATCCACATGCGCATAGTGTGGTGGAGTGGGTTCTCAAAATTGTATGATGAGACCCCAAACCACTCACTGTGCCGGACTGCCGACTGTCGGAGGGGGTACCCCGATGCCGCTTATAGACCTTCTCTCACCTTGTGTACCCGTCGGCTGGCGGGTTGCACTTTTCGGAGGACTTGGTGAAGATGTAGACGTCTGCCTTGAGGGAGGTAGACCTGGGGGGCCTCGAGTGGATATGCTTCACTCGGTGGGCCGGTAGGTGGCCACTCGATCGACCTTGTCGAGAGTGGACTTAGAGCCAAATTCTTCAGGGGCGCTTGTCGTCCCTGGCCTTTTCCTTCTTGTTTCAGGGGTATCAACCACCTGACCTTTACTTTGCTCCCGATCCAAGAAAACTAGTCTTCACAATAGACTTTCTCTATTGAACTTAGAGTGAAAAGAGCTTTTTTTGTTGAAAACGTCTCTGAATAAATTTGATTTTTTATACAAATATAAATGTATAAAGGACTAGCGACTACCTTGTATCGAAGTAACTGACCACTTTTAAAGTAATTTACTTTATTTAAAAATTATAAATTATTTTAATTGAATAATTATTTTAAAAGTTAGAAAATAATTAAAAAAATTCTTGAAAAACAACCAACTTCCCGATGTGACGGGCGGTGTTTACAAAGTCCAGTATGTTGGATCTCGCATATGACTTGAGCAAGCAGTAACCACAGCAAGGTGCGAGTGGTTACTATAGTAAGCTGTTCTAGGCGTGCAGGACGCAGCGGTTTCGATCCTATGAAAAGGCGAAGCGACCTTCTGGCAGGGCTACTCTAGAGAAACCATTGGGAAGGATCGATGGTAAAAAACACAAGAGAGAGCTAGGACGGTAAGCTTCAAATACATTTAGTCTCTCATTTTCATTCTACTTAACAAACTCTAAATTGCTACAGTTTATGAGCCCAATAGGCCCCAAGATCTCCTCGCCACGACATTTACCAGACAACTTTACTTCGGAACCTGGAGCCAGGGGGCTAGGTGAGGCGTCGGATGCATACGAGTCGTTCGAGGAGTAGCGCTATTTATCTGGCGCGTCAGACGCTCACGAAAGGAGCATTCGGGATTTTGATGCGAGCTTGGAGCGGATATATAAAATTGAGGGACTCCTCGAGGGAATGGCAGAAAAGTTCGCGACGCATCAAATGCATATGCAAGCACAATTGCAGCATATTGTGAAAGCACAACACGCGCCGGCGCAACAGCCAAGAATGTTTGTCACGTCCTTCGAGCATGGGTCCAATACTTTTGGAGACTACTTGAAGGCGCGTGGTAAAAGCATGCGAATGGGGTCGCTTTATGAATTAATGGAGAGAAAGCCAGTAGCGGCATGAGCGCCGCGTGCAGTTTCAGACTCATTCAAATCGCCGCCATCTGAACCTGTACAGATGCCAATCCCTCAGCAGCAGGCATGGACGTTCTGCCCCCCACAGGACTTTGGTCTGAAGATGCCGAAGATGAAGGATATGGACTGGCCAGGGTTCCCAAGGTTTTCAGACAACGAAATTTACGCAGGAGTTGGTGCAGACTTTTAAGCGTAGGGAAAAAATTGTGCAGCGTCTAGTGGCGGCGCCGATGATGAGCGGTGGCGACTGGCCTGACGACTTCAAGATCTTAGCATTCAAAAATAAGCTGGAGGGAAAAGCTTTGATTCTATTGAATATATGGTACCGAAGTGGAACGCGGAATTAAGCACGGTTGAGCATATCATGGACAGAATGCTGGGTGTTTACTCAACGAAGTTGCCGGTGTCTAAGGCAATGGATCTTATGTGTGAACCGAAGGCAAGCAGCAAAACATGGACGGAGCATTTCAAGTACTTGGTGTACGTGGAGGAACGTGCAGGTTGTTTAAACCAGTTCGTGCTTTAGTGTCTGTGCGAATCAGCACCTTACCAGATGAAGACGGCGATGTTGACGCGCCTTGACTCAAACAGAGTCGACCACATTCAGCAAGCATATAAATTGGTGGCTTTGCGGCCAATTATGAACTCAGCTCAACCAGACACAGTAGTTGGCGTGGTGTCAGTGCTCGGGACGGACTCAGTGAATGTGTTGGGTCAAGACGGGTAGATTCGTTTTGTTGGTCGAATCGAGGCTGGTAGTGCTGATGCAGGCAATGATCGCACGTGCTGGTCGTGCGGAGGTATCGGGAACCTTAAATATACTTTTTCTGCAGACAAGGTCATAGATGACGCAAAGGTAACGCTGGCCATTGACAGTGTGTGTATTGAAGGCATCTGAATTTTGGACGGCAGTTCGAGTGTACACTTGATACGTGACGTCAGCCTACTGCGAAACGCTGTCGACTGCTCTGACACATGGCAGACAGCCAAAGGAAGCACGTTACGTGCAACGCAACGAGGAACATTCGAGCTGCGCACTGTTGTGGATGGTGGTGAAAGCGTGTCGACTTGACAAATGTTTACTATTGTAAGGATTCCAGCAGCAACATCATCAGCTACGCTTCGTTGGAGAAGAAGGGTGCGTATCTTACGCGCCACGGCTCTCTGAGCTACGTTGAGCGTTCTGCGGACGAAAACCACATCTATGGAGTGCGCGGTGAAGGACGTGTACTCTAGATGAAACCATCGGAGGATGCACCAGACGCGAACGCGTGCATGCCGTGCTGGTGGAGGGTCCACATTGGAATGACGGTGCTGCCGACGCAGTAACAGACTGCAATCTCCTTAAGCTGCATGATCGTCTGAGGACACCTATCCTTTATTATATTGGAGAGTATGGCAGATGCGCCGGGATCGAGCGTCCGTCTTTTTAGTCGCAAGAGGCTGAATTGTCTTACGTGCGCTCAAGGGAAGCAAAACAAAATAATTCAATCCCAGAAGGACACTGGGCAGAACGCACCGGTGGATCAGATTGGCGGCGTGATCTGTAGCGACACTAAAAGGCCGATGACACCTAGGGAAAGACATGGAAACCGCTACATGGCTTCGTGGAACACCGATCCAACTACTTAAGGGCGTTTTAGCCAAAAACAAGATAGACGTCACCAAGAAATTTAAGCACTTCTTGGAGTTCTTGTAGAAGCTGTTTAACTGCCGCATTCACGTCCTGCGCACAGATGGCGGGGGTGATACATGAACGTATAGCCATTCTGCTACGCGACGGAAATTCAGCGGCAGGTGAGCGAAGCCAATAATAAGGCCTCGGATAAAAAGGCTGAGCGCATACACAGAAAATTCTGGACATTGTCAGTGCATGTTGTTTGTGAGTGGATACCACTAAACTTCTGAACAAACGCTGTAGAATAAACTACGTGCGTTTTATATCGCAGCGCGTGCAGCTCCAATCCAGCGAAGATGTCAGTAATCAAAATGTTGACGGTCAAGTGCCCGAATCTGGTGAATATCATCATCTTTGGAAGCCTGTGCACCGTTTACCGAGATCCAGACAAGAAATTGTGGCATCCGCGTGCAAAAGTCGGTATGATCATCGGTAAGAACGATGAAATTAAGGGTTTCAAGGTTTACAACCCAAATGACCGGGTTGTGATTACGACCCAACACATCAAGAACGTGGAAACGATTGGTAGCACCCATAACGTACAGCTTCAAGCCCAGCTTTTGAAAGAGGACCCCGAATTTTGGAAATCAATTAATGAGTTTGAGGCAGTGGTAAGTCCAAAGGAATCTACTCTTGGCAATACTGGCAACAAGAGTGAAGAAAGTTTGATTCAGAAGGAGATTAGTCTCCAGCTGATCTTGCAGCGACTTCAGCGGCTTGCAACAGCGCGGATGCATTCGCGCTACGTGGAAAAAAGCATGTGCCCATCGGGATCGTAAACGATTTAGTCACAGTCGACCCAAAAAACTATCAGGAAGCGATGAAAGATAAGCATGCAGACAAGTGGAAAGATGCAATGAAGGTTGAACTTGAAGCGCTCGAGAATAATCATACGTGGAAAGTGGTTGCAAAACCTCACAGCGGGAAACTGCTGCATACGAAATGGGTTTTAAGACCAAGAAACACTCCGATGGAATCGTGGAGCGCTATAAAGGCATACTCGTGGCCTGTAAAAGCGAGCAGGTATTTGGCGTGGATTACACGGACACTTATGACTTTTGGAAACAGATAAGGGCGAGTTAAGGTGGGAGTGCTTAAAAGAAGGTAAAATGAAAAGTGAATTATCATCTAGCTAGGTCCTTAGTTCGTCTCGTTGTACTACTCTAAGCCTATCGATATCGACTCCAATATTAGTAACAAAACGATGAGTCGATCCCATCGTTACACACAATCACGCAGTGTCGTCTATGCCATGTGGTCATTAGTATCAGTAACCATCAGCATTACCAATAGACACGTTCTCCGCCGGGTTGGACATGACCACTGGAAAAGTGATATATGCACTAGCGCGCATTTGGGGAGACCCGGCCAGGCACAGAGATGTACCCAATTTTAGACACAAGAGGTAGAATAAGGAGATAGTAGAAGTGCTTATATTTAGCAAACCTTGCCTTGGTACTTTGTGCTCTCACATCCAGCACTGCTAAACGTAACCTATGCAAATTGTAAAGTTTGCGACCAACATCGGCTTCGTGACGGTCCATCCATGACCTAAAGACCGATGATGATTTTGTAACGGTGCATCCAAAATCAACGCTAAATGCGTACGTGAAGACGGACAAGGAAAAAGGCTGGATAATATATATTTTCATATACACCAAAGTATGGATATTAGCGACAAGTTGCTTGCTCGAATAGGCGCGGTGCATCGACGCGACTAGCCCTCTGGCTTCTGAAAAGCCTTTATGGCTTCAAGCAGGCAGGTCGCTTATGGAACTTGCTGCTATACAGTGTGCTAATTGACCTTGGGTACACTCGAAGCTACACTGATAGTTGCTTGTGCTACAAGCGAGACAAGAATAAAGTAATGCTCTTGGGGGTTTATGTCGACGACTTGCTAGGTACTGGTACAAACACCGCGAGCGTGAATTTTTTTCTCGCGGACATGTCCTTACTCGAACTTAAAGATTTGGGGATTGTTTTGAAGTTTTTGGGCATCGCGTTCAATTACGACGATACAGAAGGATGGCTTCTCGAGAAAAAGCAGGTGATACAAGGCCCCCTCGACAAATTTGGATTATCCTCGGCGACGGCAGTGCCGATCGGGGTTGAGCAGGAGGACGACACAAGAGGGGAATTGCTGCCGAATGACGGGTTTGGAAGCCCCGAGCGGCGAACCGTACAGACTTTTTAATCTTTAATTGGTAGTCTTCTGTGGATCGCCCGATGTACAAGACCAAATATCTCGTTTGCAGTGCACCGGTCTACTAGACGCACGCACGCACCACGCAATGGTGATTGGAGATTATCGACGAAGATTGCACTCTACCTCAAAGGAACGATTGACACCAAGTTTTGCATGCGTACGACTGACGAAATGTGCGCGAACAGCGTCGTGATTGAGGCAATAAGCGATGCCGACTTTGCCGGAGATCGCAATGATCTCAAATCGTAAGTGGTGGCATGCTACTTGTCGAGTTGGATGGATGTGCAAGAAGCAGGCCAGCGTGGCACTATCCACGATGGAGGCCTAACTCGTTGCGGCATCACAGGTGACGGCCGAGCGTCTCGGGATCGCAGAGTTATCAAGTGAAATCAGAATCACAGTTTAGGCGCTGTACAAGCTCAATGTGGATAATCAAGCGGCTATTAACCAAGTTCAAGGATAGGATACGTCTGGACGTGCAAAACACATCGACATCAGATACAAGCTCGTGAAGGATTTATTGAGAAAGAAAACGCTAGAGGTAGTGTACAGCGAGTTCAAGGCGATGCGCGCGGACATATTGACTAAGATTGCTCCATCACCGCGGCTTAAGGAGCTGCGGATGCTCATGATGCTCTCCTAATGACCGCGCGAAAAAAGTATTGAAACTCGCATATGCTTGAGCAAGCAGTAACCACAGCAAGGTGCGAGTGGTTACTATAGTAAGCTGTTCTAGGCGTGCAGGACGCAGCGGTTTCGATTCTATGAAAAAGCGAAGCGACCTTCTGGCAGGGCTACTCTAGAGAAACCATTGGGAAGGATCGATGGTAAAAAACACAAGAGAGAGCTAGGACGGTAAGCTTCAAATACATTTAGTCTCTCATTTTCATTCTACTTAACAAGCTCTAATTTGCAACACAGTAACTGTTGGAAATGGGTTTGTCTTTTGAAGAAAACATTTCCGTTCACAAACTTACCGTGGGCAAATGCATACAGAGGTTGAGAGTGTGATGCGAAACGATTGGCAAGGGAATTACACTCGTGGTAAGAGAAGCAGCCTACAGAGGCGTTTCTATGTATATTTAAGGATTACGGTCAAAATAACTCAGGAGTTTCTTTCTCCTGGGATTAATACACTTCCTCTTTTTTCTTTTAAAGCTAGCTGAATTTTTTTCCGGCAACTTTCTCTGGCACTAACACGCCAACTTACTTGTGTGATTACTTTGTGCAGTGGATTCACTAAAATGTTCTTTCTGCTTACGTCTAGTCACGCGTGGTTTTTCCTACAGTAACATATTCACCGCAACACGCTGTTGTGCGACTACTTATTCGAAGCAGATTTTGTTAAAATCATGTAAATAAGTTCTAACTTGATTTGACCCATTCTCTATATAAAAAATGAATAGTCATTAATATTTTCATTATTTTAAATACTTCTCCTCAATGCAATTCTTCTCTCCGAACTTGATGAATTATTTATTTCAAAAATAGTTTCTTTATCAATAACTGATACAGATTCTAACATAAGGATATATAAGAAATGTAATAAAAAATTTATCCTACGTACCCTACACTATGGCTATTTACTGATCATTGTAATTTTAATATGTAGAGCTTTCTAATACTGATATTAGTACATGCTATTGTTGCCCCGGATATCGACCTATAACCGATAAGATACGGTATTACCGACATATTGGATGGATACACATTTTGCATTCTTACCAATTATCCAACCGTCGTGTAACCCCGTTACAAAAATGGTAACGTCGCGCAATCAAGTGGCGTCCTCCATTCTCTCTACCTTTAATCCACACTTCTTCACTACTTTCCTTCTTAATCTCCTTTTTCTCTTAGCATTATCCACGTCTCAAGCGATAGAAAATGTGCTACCACTCCAAGACTCCATGTGTCTCGAACTCGACATGAATCCCGACACTTTTTGGGCCCTTTCCACATCTCAAATCGCCCAAGATAGTGCCCAATTTAAGACCCAAATACTGGATGTCGTTCCTGATTTGGTCCCTTTTGATGTCAAATGTGACAAAATGAAACGTTGTGACCAAAAAGGCATTTGTGCCATTGTATGCAAACATGGCTCGGTCCAAATGGAGAAATGGCTACAAAAAGCTCTTCATCTGCAACGTAAACTTGCGTACCGACGGAATATTTGCTCTGCAACTTTACCAGGCACACACAACTCAGCGATCAATTTAGCTGATGGTTACGGCGTGGAAGATCACGTGTTTGAGGGCTATTTGCGTTACTTTTCATGGTTCAAAAAGGGTATGAAGGTGCACACGAACGACCAGTTCTTTTCTCTTACTGACCAATTAAACATGGGGGTGAGGTTTATTGAGCTGGATATGCATTGGTTTGATGGCGATCTACACATTGCTCATTGTGGAGGCTTCAAGTCGAAATTATTGGACAAAATGATCGAAGTTTTCAATGATATTGCCAAGATATTGGGCACCGGTATTGAGTGGGACTCGGAGACAATTGGGTGTAAACCAAGCTTAAGTAGCATTCCAACCAAGGAGCAGCGGCCATTGGAGGAAGCACTGAGTGAAGTAGCGTCGTGGTTGCATGCACCAGAGCATGTGGACGAGTTCTTAATGGTGTTCTTTGACGACGAGACAAATCTCATGAAATGGAACAAAGTCGGGATGCTGCTGGATTATCTGAAGAAGTACTTTCCGGAGGAGGAAATTCTACGACCGATAGAGTTGGTGGTGAGGTATTTCTGTTTTGAATTGTCTGTGGTAGGTAATGATATTCATATCTTGTATCGAATGTGGTGTTTTTTATGCCTAGTACGAAACAAAATGGCCTACATTTGAAGAACTGCTCCGTGCCGGAAAGCGGGTGCTGTTCATGAGTGGTGCCGATTACCTTGCGCAAGGGGAGGAACTCCTGTTTGTGAAGGACACTATTTGTAACTGGCAAGAGCCGCCATTACCTCTTACCCCGTTTCCTGAATGCCGATTCAATCATTCCGACACTGATATTGGGATTCCTGACGAAAACTTCACAATCTTTCGCCCAGAAACCAGCGAGATTGAGTACGGTTTTCTCAATGCAAACGGCCAGATTGGCTACAATAAGTACTTGCTGAATGAAGAATCTCTTCCAGGCGTGGCAGACTGTGGTGTGAATATGCCATCACCAGACAACCTCACCCCAAAACGCATGGAGGCTACAGTATGGACTGTAACTAAGGGGCATGAGCTTGATGCTAGCAAGTGTGTCGCACTCATGCGTGAGTCAAAGACTTGGCAGAGCGTCGATTGTCAAGCTGCCAACTTGGTACCAGCATGTTTTGACATGAAAAACCCACGTCTTTGGCAGCTTGGAAGTGTGTCGGTCGTTGAAGCCGACGCAGCTTTCGCCTGTTCTGCTCTGTCTGCATCAGAATTAAAGTATTCAGCCCCAGCCTCGGGATATGAGAATGAACTGTTGCGCAGTCAATTGATTGAGCACGCGCCTAGATCGATTGCAGGCGTGTGGTTGAACGCAAAAGCTTTCGTCTCGGAAGTTGCAACCGTTGCTCAGCAACTGAAGGTGTCACCAATTGACGACATTATCTCGGTGGAATAAGGAATTGCAAAGACAATTGCTTGCCATAATTGTTTCTTGTGCGCTGGAAGTAGCAATGAACGCCATCGATTTGTTGTAAAAACAAAATGGCAGCGACAACAAGACAGACGAACTAGCAGTGCACTTATCTATCAGAAGCAGTCAGCACTTTAACATATTCACCAGCAAAAGACACTACTCAAATTATACGAAGTTCATTACAATACGTGGTGATACATCTAGTCATGGCAACGCTGGAACGCGTCTGTTTCTTGAATGAAGTAAGCAGCGGATGTCGTACAAGCACTTATGAATACAAGTTTGAGACAAGTTGCTATAGCTTCTTCGGCGTTTTTTAGACCTTCGCCGGGAGCGTCGTGGTTGGCGTTGGAACGGGTTCTGTCGCCATGCTGTCGATCGAGTCTTCATCTTGCGCATCATCAATCTTGACAACGTGCGTCCCATTGGTATCCTTGACAAATTTTTGCTTTTCTTGCTCGTAGCGGTACTGCTCACCGTCGATGGGTTTCAGAGCCGGTTGAGACTTCCAGGTCTCATTGTATTTCTTCATGTCAGTCATGCACGCATCATCGACACTGCTGGCGACTTTGTACGCGTTGACTTTCATCTTGGCAAAAGACAGGTAGCAGTCTTCAGGTTTCAATGCGAGGACGTCTTTGATCAGCTTACGACACGAGTCAGAATTACACATGGCTTTGACTTGAGGGTCCGTAGGTGAAGCGATGGAAAAGTCGGCCGAGATTTTCTGGCACTCATGTAGGTTCGGGTTGGCATAAAGCTCAGCAAGTTTTTTGATCTCGGCTGGAGGACAGGCGTCTTCGGCGGCTCCATAAGCGCCAAGGAGGACAAAGAGAATAATGCTAAGCTGCATAGTGGTTAGAGGTTGATGTGAGGAAATACTGGGGTACCAAGTTGGAATCAAATTGGAGAATGAAGAAGACGTGGAGTCTTGTTTGTGTTGGAGCTCTTCAAAATAAACACGAGAGTTTTTTATCATCTCTTCCTGTCCATGATGAAGAGAATACTTAGAAGAGACTGAATATCGAGTAATCTTCTCTTCCTGTCAATGATGAAGAGAATGTTAAGAAGAGACTGGATTTCGAGTAAGTCTTCATCTGAAGGCGCTTGAAAAAGGCACGATTAGTTGCTAAGACGCGGCTGAATGTCAATGGATTACATCGGTCTTAGTGTTCAATCGAGGGATGGCAGATCATCATTTCAAAGTACACTGAGCTGGTATAAAATGGTACTAGTCAACTATCGATTTACATCAAAGCTGGACACTCGAAATCGTAAACGACTATTCATAGCAAAAGATGTTTATGTGACACTGACCTCACCTTGTTCTCTTGCAGCACATGCCTAGGTAATCGAGATGCAAAATCTACTAGTGTGCACACTAATACCCTTCCTTATGGTCCACAAGATGCTTGTTGCCGTGATGACCGTCGTGCGTTGGGCTTGTCTTGTCACCCTTCAGCTTGTCCTTCACATCATGTATCACCTCCTTAGCACGTTCTACGAAAGACGGCGACGATGACAGCGATTTCTGGGCAATTGTGATCTGATGACTCAGTGCACTGACATTAAAGTTGTCGTGCAACGTCGTCTTGACCAGCTGCTCGACTGTGTCAGAGCTGCTGAGAATACCGCCACCATGATGATGATGGCCGTCCGTTTTTCCAAGCAGACCACCAATGTTCCTCTCATCGCTCGTACCAAAAAAGACTGTAGCATGTTTGTCGTCCTTCTCACGCTTTTCCGTGTCATTCTTGCCGATGGCATTGTCAATCACGCCGTTAACACCTTTCAACCGTCCGTTCTTCTCGTCATAGTTACGAGCTGTTGTATTGAGGGCGTCCATGGATTTGGCAACAACATCCATCATGCTGCGTGCAGAAATAACGCCCGATTCAAATGGCTGTAGATTTTTGTTGATCTGGTGTGCCACGTGCTTCAAGTTAAAGGCCGTGTCTTTTGCCGATCGCATATCGTTCCGCATGAAGGACGTGGCCGTGTTGATAAAGTAGTTTCCATGGTGATGATCATAGTCCGAGAGGTTTTTCTTGAGTAGCTTGAGACACCTGGCAGCATCGTCTGCAGTCTGAATGAGTGCTTTTTCTAGTAACGCAAACTCGTGCTCGGCAGTAGCGAGACGTTCATTAGACTTGACCATATTGACGTGTACAAGTTGTTTGTATACAGATGATAAAGTGATGATGAAGTTATCAACTCGAGTACTTGGAGTTACGATTTAAAGTGAGAGATGTCTAGTACGTCGTATGTCAGAAGCTAGATTTATTTCTTCGAAGAAGTTCCATACAAACCAGGTTTCGTAAAATATTTGATGTTAATATTCAAGCATAATTGATACATTTCTAGTTTCTGTTTTTTTCTTAACAGAAAACCCAATAAAAAATCAAGAGCGTAGCTACCCGATGCTTCGATAGGCGACGATCATGCCTTTTTTTTATTTCTTGCGACACATTATAAATAACTTGCTAATTTCGCCACCCACCAAAATGTTGCAGAGCAGGAGTCTATTTTTTTAAACAGCAATTTTTTTTACACAAAAATATTTTTTGCTCTTAATTATAATGTCACAATACCACTAAGCGACATTCAATTTTCTGTAAAAACTTGCATTTCTTCAGCTTCTGACATACTTTTAACGGACAAATAATAGATAGAATACCAGCATATCCGTAATAGATAGCACCATAATGACCAGCCAGAGACAAATCTTCTTTCGATAGGAGCGTTTGGAAATGATCTGCAACAAGTGACGCACTTGGCCCGTCATGCTCGAAGTCTCAGAGACCATTTCTTTCATGTCATGAAGCTGAGAGCGCTGCAGCTCTAGATCCACCAACACGTTCTTAGCCATCTCCTCGGACTCTGCCACATTGCGTCGTGTACGCTCAATGTCGTCCGACGTGCGCATCAATGACCGCACACTCTGTTTTTTTCAATGCAATAAATAATCAGCACCAATAATAATTAAAACATATTCTATGTGCTTGTCGAGATTATTTAAAGCTACGGACACACCGGATCGGTGGCAAGAAAAGTATTGTAGGTTTTCATATTAGCAAGATCTGGTCCACCGCTTGTGACGCCACTTGTGTTATTACCAGTAGCAAAGATACCCCCACCATTGGACCTATTCGTGTCGGACATGACGTCGTTACACGAAATTTCTCGAAAAATATAATGTTAGGTTATGAATAATTAGATAATGGTACCCCATATTTTATGATACACAAATTTGTGTCCAATTTACGATGTGACCCACACACAATTTATAAAGTGGCTTAATGAGCTTTGGAAAGTCTAATTATCGTGTGGGCGGCACGCGTGGTGGTGCCGATCGTACGCATTGTTTACTATTGTTTCTTTGCTAACAGTGTAATATATAAACAAGGCAACATGTGGTGCTTTTTTCTTGCAAATTGATGCACTAGATTTCAAGTGGGAAGACGTCAAGAATGACAAGTATCGGGAAAATTATTTGGGACACTCGGTACAGGCGCCTGTAGGTCGTTGGCAGAAGGGAAAGGACATTACATGGTACAATAAAGCAAGTAAATTACAACGAGATGAAGTGCTGCAGACGGAACTGGAAGTGGCGAAACAGAGGGACGAAGATTTGATGAATGAAGCGCTGTACGTCACCAAGAAGGGAGGGAATTTTGACTATTGGTAGCGAGTTTACAGTGTTAATTGCTCTATTTATTATTTGTTGTGGCTATGTAGAGGTTTTGCACCTAAGAGACGTCATAAGCCTGTTGAAGGTTTGAGTGCGTCGGAGATGAAGATGCTGCTGAAACGTGGAGAAGCAGAACGTGATGGCATGGATGTCGAGAGAATTGAAGGGATAGGAGCAGCTCCAGTGGAAGCTGCAGGATTCCAAACAGGAACGAAACGCACATTGGCTGAGAGATATAAGGATCAACTTGCAAGTGGCAAGGCAGATACAACGTATGCGTTGCACAGGTACAATTAACGTGATGACAGAGAGTGAGGCCAAGACAGCACGAAAAAAAACGCGAAAGGTTGAGAAGGAAGCCAAGAAATTGAAAAAGAAGGAAAAGAAGGAGCGCAAGAAAGAGAAAAGAGCAGCCCGCAATCTCTCTTGTCATTTCAAGGATGAGGACGACGAAAATCACGCTACCCTCGCCATAGCATGGATAATGAAGATGCAAGGTATCGCCCGCGTTCACGCTCGCCACCAAGCCATTCAGGAAGAAGCCGAGTGGTAGGTCGATGGTCACACGCTGAAAGTCGACATCGTAACAGTCGATCCTGTTCGCGATCACCAGCTGACCGTCGTAGGGAATGAAAACTCGTCCAGACGAGCAGAGCTACTTGACTCTCGCGGCCGCTCACGATCTCCAGATCGACACCGTCGTCATCGCCATCTATCTTCATCTCGATCTCCATCTCCTAGAAGGCGTTCGCGCTCTCGTTCGCGGTCACGCCGAAGGTAAGGATAGTATCAATACAAGAACGACTGAGGTTGGTATGTCAAATTCCAATTCCTTTCTAATTCTATTCACTCGATGTAAAAATAGCTGTTTCATGATTGTTTCCAGCTCAGTCAGACTTTGAAGTCGTGTGCGCCTTCTTCAGTCGCCCGCAGCGTTCAGAACTTCCATCCTTCAATTTGTATGCAGGCAAATAGTATCCCTCCTTGCCCATCTCACCCTTCCGCCAAAGCTCTGGGTTCTGCACAGTATCGAAAATATTTCCCAGCGATGTATATCCGTGGTCGTACAATGAGCAGTATTCCAACTGACAATCACGCAAAAAACGCCAGACATCCTCGTAAGTCCACTTTAAGATCGGGTTTACACGTAAAAATGGTGGCCACCCTGGACTGCTAGGCGAAAAAGTGCTCCAAATTTTCCGTGCGGATCTCCTCCACGTACGCCCATGTACACGCCTTTAATCTTGAGTTTCTCTGAATATCCTTGACTCCTTCAATAAATGAGCACTTGTACACGTGACAATTAAGAGCGTATTTCTGACTGAATGCTCCCAAAGTCTCGCATCTCTGGAAACTGATCGTACGAGTCAAAATAGGTAACCGGCACGTGTTGCAATTGTGCTTGACTCGAGCTTCGAGTTCTTGTTCATCCAGTAAATCCACCGAGACGAAGCTATTTCGCGGTGATGTCACAGTTGTCCCACCCTCAGCTTTCTGTTGGATCTTCCAATGTGCCAATTGTACCTCCTCCAGCACACGTTTAGCTACGACAATACGAAGCAAATGAAGCACCACCGTCGAGTCTTTGCCACCATTAAAACTGAAACACACGCCCTCAAGACCGAAAATATCAATAGCACTCCGCATGACGTCCAATGCTTTTTGTACTCGTTTTTGCATGGCTGGATCAGCACGAGTAAAAAAGCGATCGAAACGAAGTACTGTCGACCTCATGGTACTATCAATGGGCATGATTTTTTGATAGTCGCTTCGTCACAAAGTGTAGACGATGAGCTTAATGACGTTATTTTAAGTCGATCTTCCAGAGGTTACACGACGTTGTGGTTGAGGTGTTAGAAAGTAACCGTGTCAAGGTCTTTTAATGAGATGAAGAGATGAGTTGAAAACTCTATTGACGTCTGTTGGTAAAAGTTGTTGAGTGTTTTTATTGCTGACGCGGGGATTTAATGATGTTTTGCATGTCGATTGGATAACAAAAATAGCTGGAGATTAGAATGGTAGCCAATGGAAAGAGAATGCATTGCGATTGTGCGTTCGTGCAACTGTCCAGCGCTGTGAGTGCATTAAGGATATTTCGTCTTTGATTATCATCATGAACTGCCTACGAGTAGAAATGATCGACTTTATATACCTCAATGTCTAGTGTTTCAGGCTTTTCTATGACTCAAAAACGAGTCGTGAGCAGATACATTCGTGTGGGAAACAAACTACGTACGTATCCGCCCCTTTCCTACTTACTGCTCAGGCTGCATACCCACCACCCCCACCCAACAAGGTTTGCCAAGCACGCATCACTTCGTCAACAAGCAGTAGCTGCGAAGCCAGTGTCGTAAAGCGGAGGTGAATGAATTGACGTTTTACCCGGTAGTTGGCCCAAATACCTTCCGCAGTTCGGCAGCATCGGCTCGCCTGAGAAGAGGTCGATACCCACAGGCATACCCGAGTTCTGGGTGCGTCCTGAACAGCGACTGGAGCGTCCGGTACGCCTGAGACCCGAGTTCTCAGCCAATACCTTGGGGATGATGAGCAGAGCGTCCGAAAAAACCTGCACGCCAAGCTTCGCACGGCCCTTCACCGTGCCCTTAAACATGTTGGGGGGCGGGGCAGACAGCTCAAAAGGGGCAGCAGCGCCCGGAACGACACCCTTGTCTTCAATGGCATTGTTTACAGCGCGAACACCATCGCGGATCGTATCTTTGATCTCCGCAATTGTGTGCTCGTTCGACCCTTGATCAGGATCGTAGTAAGACTTCGGATGCTGAACATCCTCTACAAACGTAGCGCAAACACCCAAAGTCTGCTCG